AAGCCATATAAAGCTTTCTTGAGCAAATACACCATATCTTCTTCACCATTTTTGACAAAGCCTTCTGGTTGATCAATGAATATTTCTTCAGTTAACTCTCCATTTAGAAAAGCAGATTTTACATCCAGCTTGATTTGTCTTGAAAAGGTATCTGTAATAGTGTAAATACTAACTTGCACAATCCAAGCAGGAGCTACCATTAGAAAGGCCAATGCAACCACCAAAGATTATATCTGTCGCTCAATTTCAGAGAAGGTGGGCATTTTATGAAATCAAGATATTTGTACTTAAGAAGTTGTTTATCTTCTATGAACCTTTTAAGTTTTGTTAAAAGTGTGCTTGATCATGATTCATATTTTACAGGCACACACCCTTCAACTTGAGGCATTTGCAGTTGCTGTAAAAAAATTAGATGCAGATCTGCCAAGACCAAAGCTTCAATTTGTAGGTAGTTGCAAAAATGAAGCAGATGAGAGAAGATTGCAAAACCTCAGGGATCGAGCTAATGAGCTGAAGGTGGATGGTGATGTGGAGCTCCATAAAAATGTGTTGTACAGGTTTGTGATTTTACTCTTTTAGCATGCTTGATATGGTGTATTAGACAACACTAGTTGATATTAAGGAAGGAAAGAAAATTAAAATCTCGTTCATTGCACTATCCAACACAATGTAATACTAAATACCAAATATGCACTCACTACCACTAAACTGATTTTAGATATTTTGTAACGATTCGACCTCTATGCCTAAGTCGTTATACATATAGACATCTGCCCCACTTACACCCTCATGAATTTTTATTGCGTCCATCAGGATTCAAACCCAAGGTTTCTGCCTAATAAGAGACCTAAGTTGAATCTAAGTGCCCAATTGGTACGAGAATGCAACTTAAGTCTCTTTTTGTAACGACTCGACCTTTGTGCCGAAGCCATTATAACATATGTACTATTTGTTTTGGATAGCCATCTGCCAACTTTCTCCATCACAAATTTCTATCGCGTCCCTCAGGATTTGAATCCAAGACTTTTGTCCAATGAGAGGCTTAGAGCATGTTTGGGCCCCATTAAAAGATTAAGAATGCATTTTGGTGGAGAATGTGTGGTTAAAAAATAAGAAAAAGTTTTAAATTTACGTGTAATATTATTTTATTGAAGAATGTGTGGTTGAAAAAAAAAAGAAAAATATATTTTGGTAAAAATGGGAATCAAATAGGAGCTTAAGTTGAATCCTGGTACCAATTGAACAAATTTCCAATTGGTATCAGATTCAACTTAAGTCTCTCTTAAGGGAAGGTCATGTGTTTGAATCTTGGGGACGCAACAGAAATCCGTGAGGGGTAAGATGAGCTAAGCTCTCCCAGAGCGAACTTTACGTAAATTAACGGCTTCGACATTAAGGTCGGGTCATTTCATATTTGGTGGAATTCTAGAACTTTTTTACAAGTGAAAATACTTACTATTTACTTGTATTACAAGTAGTAATGGTCTTACACAATGAAGTTAACGATTCTAAGCAAATATGTAAAATGAAAGAGTTACCTTCATAGCAATGATAGCCAGGGTATACACAGAAAACTTGTGATTCTAATGTGGGTAATTATTGTGTCCTATTTTCCATATCGATTTGGCCAAAGAGAGTTTTTTGTAGTTGACCCTACCATGTTGATTAAGTTTGTATGTTGTCGAGTTTATAAGAAATGATTAGATGCCTAGTTTTCTCTTACTGAGCATCACATTCCAAGATTTAAGTTCAACTTCATACAAGTTGTGCAGATGTCTGAGATTTAACAACATATATTATCTATAACTAGCTACAATAGGTGCTTGAACCCCTTGATGTTTTGTCAAATGTTCTAATCTAATATCATATATTTGTGCTTAGTTTTGTCCCATTTTAAAGATTATTTACCAACATTTTCTTATTAGGATCTCGGCTTTTAGTATTTATTTGTACTTTTTGGGTTGCTGCAGCGAGCTGGTGAAACTCTTGGGTGGTGCAGCTGCGGGAATTCACTCCATGGTAGACGAGCATTTTGGCATAAGCGTAGTGGAGTACATCGCTTCCAGTGCCTTACCAATTGGTATGTCTCCAATTTTGGATATTATTGTTCTCTCATCTTATGCCTATGTTGGCCCCCCATTTTTTTTAAAAACTCATTTTTCCAAAACTCATTTTTAACCACACAATCTACCATAAAATAATATAATATGTAAACTGAAATCTTTTCCTTATTTTTTAATTACACATTCTCCAAAAAGTCTCTATTCCAAAACTCAGTTTCCCCCAAATTTCCATTAAAATGGAGCCCAAACAAGGGCTATATGTATCTCATATTTTTCTGTATGGACAATCAATTTACGGGTTTTTTCAAGTTATCAACTCATAATTCAGCTGGCCCAAAGATGGACATCGTCTTACCAGAAGAAGGAAAGCAAACAGGATTTCTAGCTCAGAATGTGCAAGACTATGCAGATGCCATCCTAAAAACCATGACTATGCCTGAACCAGAGCGGCTTGAGATGGCTGCTGCTGCAAGGAGACGAGCTTTGAGGTTCTCAGAACAAAGATTTTCTGAAGATTTCAAGGCAGCTATCCGGCCAATTTTGTTTCACACCTCTAGATGATCAAAAACTATATTTGTCCCACTTTACAAAGATCAGGTCAAATACATTCTGGGATTTAATCTTTAAATGATATCCTTAACACGAGAGTTAGATTGAGTGCTATGGATAATACGCTGCTCCTTTCTCAAACTGTTGGTTATGTATGTCGAAAACCAAAGCTAGCTGTATATTGTGATGGTGAAGCTGAATTTATATTAGTTGAAAGAGCCGACAGCAAACAGGTTAGATTGGCATCATTGAATGCTCATATATACGTATTCAAAGGGTGAATACCAAATTTCCGATTTGATGTATTACTTTGATTTGTTTGGAATTAACCCCTTGGTGTTATCATGTTCAAAATTATTCTTGTTTTATAGTGTGGCATGCATTTCTCTTTAACTACCCTATGCTCTGCCAATATTCAAGACATGCTAAATGGCTAGAAGCAGAACATCAAACCTGAACAGTGGGTTGTGATAAGGTTCCAATAGGATTTCATTCTTGAACGAAAATCCATTGTGCAAAATCTCGGACAAATATTGATGGTAAAACCGTGCAAAGAGGAAGCATAATTACAGACAAAAAATCTTATCGCTAGAAAGCATAGCAAATTTAAAGCTAGCTACTTATAAAATTGCCTTGAGTTTATATCTTCATAGCACTCGAACCACCAAACAGGAGAAATCTCTGCTTCAAAATGAAATAATCTTACATTAATTGTTAATCAAGGTTGGTTCAAACAAAAGCATCCAGTAATCATAGCAAACAGAAGTAATTGAATACAATCGTATCAACAGAAAGAAATAAAGCATAGAAATAGAGCCGAAAAGTGACAAATCTCCCAGTTTGGATTATATCGACGTTTCTTTTCAAGATATGAATTAGTTTTCGCATAAACTTGTACTAATTGAAGAGAACAAGTTCATAGTTACTTTACCAGCTAAAATTCCATCACATCCCCAATTCATGTGTATGGATGGCATTTTGATGCTTCGACTTCTAATACTTGAACATTTTGACACACAACACCATGAAAAATTTATCTTGAGAAAGATTCTTTCAGAACAATTTATGCTAGAGAATTCACAAAGTAAAAAAATGTTTGTCACGGCAACCAATACATCATAAAAATTGATATTTTTTAGGAAAGACGTGATGCAGGGGCTAAGTTTTGAAAAAATGTATGGTTAAAAAGTAAGGAAATTTTTTTGATTTACGTCTAAAATTATTTTATAGGAGAATGCAGGGGCTGAGTTTAACTGGATTAACGAAGAAGTGCACCATATACAAGCTATAATGGTCATAAATGCCTCCAATTCGATAAAAGATATGGTCTCGCTAAATGGTGGAACTAGATTAATGAAGTTGGATGAATGCCAACAAAATGGAAAGGCAAGATATTCATATTCTTTTCAATGGGCTTGACGAATATCAGCAATGGTACCTCTAATTGCTGATACATTATGTCTTTGAACATTTGGAGAACATAAGAATGTCTCAAAATTTCTCTTCTTTGATGAAAGAGTATTCTTAGAAATGCAACTTTAAACGCCCCATTCAACAAATTGAAAGAAACAGAACAAAGTAGAAATCCTAAGAGCCACATTATTTCTTGTTTTATACAATGGCTCATTTTTCTTAAGACAGCCAATTTACACTGTAATGATTGCTTTTCTGTTTTCTCTAATCAACTTCTGCACTGCCCACGAAACCCTAAAACTAGTCTCTACTCTAAGAACTCGCTGCAAAATGAGCTAACTACCTTTTATCTTTTGACATAACATTAGATGCCTCTGCTCCTATTCCCGTATCCATTCCGTGGGTCAGTTATGAGAATGAATTCTAGTTAAGCAACGTTCTATTATTTCCTTTCAAGTTAGTTGAATCAACATAACCTAAAAAACTTGGTTATGCGATAACATCACGAACCAACTTCCACCAAACACTTCAATTTTGACCGTCTAACAATTGTTGCCTATATGATGTCTCTATGTTTTTTTAGTCGCAATCAAACAAACAGGTAACAATGACATTCATGCTCTAATGTTCAGCATAGTATGCTATGAAGACATATCGGCAAGCGATTTTTCGAAATACTACTGACATGACACGTCGGCAAGCGATTTTTCGAAATACTACTGACATGATACGTCGTCGACACGTTGATTAAATTCTTTATTTATATACTGCTAGTCTGTTTGCAATTAAAATCCAATTTTAACTGGAATTCCAACCGTTGGAAGGGGCCCCACCGGCAGCAAAATTTGACTTCTACTCACATGATTTTTGGAATCTTGTGCTCAACGGTCAATAAATCAATTCCCAACCTATTGAAAAGCACACGCACATAGTATAAATTTAGTTTTATACTTGTTATTAATATTTCTTATCCAAGTCTTTTAAATACGAGTACATGAGCACATATTTGTTATTTAATAATAATTCTGAGTTAAAATGTATAACATTTCTGACAAAGAAAAAATGACCATGGCAGAGAGTCAGACACGGACATGCTACCCTGGTTGAAATGTCCATGCTGTTTTAGTCTTACAGATCAATACGTTGTTCTTTTATTTCTCTCTGAAGATGGGAGTTAGAACAGAATGAACCAAAACGTATGATTCGGCGACCATAATCGTATATATACACTAATGGCACATTAACCTTATTCGGCTCATCATGAAATTAGGATTATGCATGGTCTCTACACATAAAGGCTCATAC